CTTTCCCTCCATTTGCTGAAATGAAAATTGTTTGTCTTCCCCTGTTGGTTTTAAAGGGATTTTTTCACAACCGGAGTCTCTTCTTAAGCAAATATCGTACTGTGGATGGTTGCAACAATCCAACAATCGCACCAGGAAATGAAACCATGGTTGAAACCATAACGTTTGTTGGGGAATCATCATTCCATAATTTCTGAACGGTGGTATAGGATTTCATCCAACCAATACAGGGTCTCGTTTTAGGTTGGTTTGGTGGGGAATACAGATGGCCCTGTCTCAGTCCGGTTCTAATCATCACCAGTGCCGTTTGTTCAAAAAGGACGCCTATCCTAAGCAACTATGATAGCTCACTTGCTCAAAGCCGACCAATGTACGCCAGTATCCCTGATTTGGTGTTGAGTCAAGATTCTCAAAGGTAGAGCTTCTGTTTCCAGGCCCAATGATGCGAATCAAAGGACCCACGAAGCTCCATGCCCAAATCCGTGTGGCCAGTTCTTTTCTTCCGGGCCCGCTTTTTCGTGGGAGAGTGAGGGCAATGTGTCCAGAAACGTCCCACGGCCGAACTCCTGGCCCACTCGGGATGCAAGCAGCCCCATAGATGGAATAACAACGGTGCCCGGCATGGGTGTGGTCAATCCGCACTGGGACCCTTGCTGTCCTTTTCAGGTTGGCCTGGCTAAGATTGGATGGGTTCCACTGTTCTTTCTTAGTTATGCGTTTTGTAAACGAGTTGCCAGGGACACCCATCGGTTTTTGCACCGAACAGGCCACCAAAAAAGGACCCCCTGGCACCTCCCGATGCCGGAAAGCCGTCGTCGAACATCGTCGCGTCGGTCCGTCAGGCCGGGAGGTGGGACTCGCAACAGGCTGGGGAAGCGACCGAGAAAAAAAGTGGTACTCTAAGAAAAAGAAAAAACACAAAAACAATGGTTCTCCTTTTGGTTTCCCCTTAAAACCAACCAACCAAACAAGGTTGCCTACAGAAAGACAAACACATCCGACGGGCCTGGGACACCCCCGTTTTACCGCCCCCGCAGAAAAGAAAGGGAAGATGGAGAAGAGCGCGCGCATTCGAGACTCGAGCCGCGTTCCTTTTTTGTCGCGCTCGAAACATGCGCACCACGGTGATGTTTGTTGGCTTCCCCTTTGAAACCGCAAGAAATTGGGGGGGGGGGACAAAAGGTGAAGAAGGGAAAGACGAGCAAACCACATGGGTTCTCAAAGGGTCCCCTAAACCGAAGGGGGTCCTTTTGTTTTGCCTCGAACTAAAAACAGGACTTGAGAGCACGGCCCTTTGATCGATCAGTGTTGCAAATCGACGGGTTTTTTGGGTTCTGCTACCGCAGGTGGGTTCTAATCATTTGCCAGGTCCATCGATGTTCAACCAAGAGGACACCTATGCTTCTTGGTGGCTCCCAGCCATCCGGCCCCTCAGCTTCTAAGCCTTTTAGTGTTTCGTGGGGGTTTCCGAATTTAACCCACTAAAAGTTCGTCACTTTTAGGGTCTGAGGGCCCAGGCTTGAGAGGGTTTCTCCTTTCCGTGATCTGTTGGCTTGCCGCAAATTTATGTTCAGGACGATCGCCGTTGTGACGGAGCCGCTCAAAACGTTTGAGCCGTGCTCCCCAATCCAAATCTAGCGTGCCAGCTATCAACCGCTGAGCCTCGTTTACTGCCCTTGGGGCACCCCGGGCACTCGGCAAAGCTTGTGGTAATCGGAGCAGCCTTGTTTGCTGCGTTGGAGGGTTTGCTTTGTTGAGCTGCTCGGCAAGCGGAGTCCATGGCAGTTGTGTGCGCTTCAAAAAGGCCTCGCGAACATGCAGTTCGCTTCAAGAGGAGTGCATGCAATCGCCACATTGTTTGCTGTCTCCAGACGGCCCTGGCAAACAAGTCAGGAATTTTGTCGGCGTGTTCAGGTATGGGAATCACTCGTCTTTACTGCTGGGCTGGGTCAGGTGAGCAATCTTGTTCACTTAGCGATGTGTCAAGTCGGAGGAGCGTGTGGCACTTATCCTGACCCTTGAGCAGTGTCGAGGTTGCGTACCTGCTAATCTGTGTTGGGCATCAGGACGAACAAGCCACAAGTACTGGAACTTGCTAGGCAAGCAGCCCTGTCGTTGCAAGTTGTGCCTTTCTTGCGGTTAAGCGTTTGCCTGTGCTCATGTGAAAGTGAGCCACCTGGGGCTGATGGGCTGCTTACAGCCGACCCACTGTCGTACGTGGCAAGCTGAATGTGTGTGGACGCTCAAGGCAACTCAAGGGCATCTTGAAAGTCGACAAATACAAATCAGAAGCAAGCTGAATGTGTGTGGACAAGGCAAGGGCATCTTGAAAATCGACAAATCAGGGTGTTCATTGGACAAGAGGTCGTTGCCTGGGCGTATCATTGCATTGGTTTTCTCCAGCATCCGCCAACCGTGGATTCGGCTGGTGCCAATTGCCCAAAGGTCATGGCCAGTGCGAGCCTAAAGCGAGCCAAAAAATGTTTTTGTCATCACGTACTAAGACGGTCGCTGGAGTGTAAATGACAAAGGCGCCGTCAGAATTTCACCAATCTGGGGAACATTGTCCGGACCTTGGACCAGCATGCTAGAGGCAAAGCTCTGGTTTTGCTGTGTGAAGCACCACTATAGATGTGTCTTCAATCAAACCCCCAAAAGGTGGTTGACCCTTTTGTTTCCGTTTAAACCCCAAAAAATTATCGATTCCCTTAAACGCTCGCAACCAAGAACGCTTAGGACCACATTAGTGCTGGGGTCATCCGTTTCTGGGGTTGTCAAATGCAAGTTCTCGGGCGACAAGCCAGTGAGCATAGTGAAGGTGACTGGGATGCTTTGCGCTAGCAACCGACCAATCAATTGGGAGAAGTTTGAGTCCGAAAATGTTGTGTTTTTTTTAGCCTAGCACCTGGGGGAATTGACTTTGATCACGATCAACAATGGGAGCTGCGTAAAGTGGAAGAGAAAAAGTAGTTGAGTGCCTGGCCAATGTCGAGCAATCGGCGCCAACCATGAGATGCTGTAGTAGTGCGCACATTTAAAAGCTGCGGACATACTCGGCTTTGTGAGTCCTAGCTTCTTCCACGATCGGTCAACATCCAAATTGGAAAGCGGTCGGATTGCGGCACGTTTTTCCTTCTTGATCTTCTTTTTTTTTCTGAGATCAACACACATGACGCGGGTCGAAAGGTCTAGTTAGTAGGCAACCAGCCATGTTCCTTTCAGTTTTTACAAGGTGGTTCCCTTGGCTACCTACGAATTGCACAGATAAATGAACCACGCAATTGACGCTCAAGTGACCCAAACGACACTTGCCACAAGCAGAGTGATTCTTTATCAGAAAAGGCGTGACATGATTGTTCAAGTCAAGTCGTCTGTTCGTTTGTCGCAATGATGGCCTCGTTCTGATCGCAGAATCAATGGGCCATTAGGGGACATTAGGTTTTCCAGGAGGGCTCAAAGGGGCCAAGGCGCTCGAGGCTCAGGCGGCTGGAGCACGGTTCCCATCTGGGGTTATCTAGGACTTGAAAAAAAGAAAAGCAAACACAGGTGGCATTTTTTCGGATATGGGCCGCAAAAAAGGGTGGGTTTTCCAGTTGGGGTCGCTCCAAAACCAGGGGCGGGCTAGCTTTTATGTGACCTTTCTGTGAAGGAGGCTTGCTCCAACAAGGACTTCATTTCGCTTTGGAGTTGGTACCCTGGCAGCCCTAAGGTCCACCAACCCGTTGGGCTAGACCAACCAATTCGTCCATTTTTTTCTCCAGATCTTCGAACCAGATGGGCACCCATCGCGCGCCCAGCAGGCCGCACGTGGGCAATTTTGATCGACCAATTGTGGTCCGGTGCAAACTTGACTGAGGCGATATAAACCATCGGCCAGGATTAAAGGACCTGGACCCTCGAATAAATGGGGTATTCAAGAACCCCACCCCTCCGAAATAAGCAAACACACCGCGGAAAATAAGACAGGGACCCTTGTTGGGTTGTTTGGCTTTAGAAGTGCGGGCTCCATATTGACAGTCTTAGTGCCGTCAGGACTAGAGGGTGAGATCAAGGAACAGGGAAGGCGGTTCCGCTAGACGCTGCGTTTTGGTTGCCCCCAAAATGGGTTTTTCTTATTTGGTTTCATATAAACTCACAAACAAGGGGTTTCAAAAAGACAAGCCCATGTTTAGCCGCAGCGTAGGACACTTGTTGTGAGGGGTTTCCTCTGATTGGGACAGCAGAATCAAAGCCCGAAGTTCGGATCTTGTCGCATGGCTGCACGAGCCGCAAAGGCTTCCCTCAGAAAACTTGGTGGCTCCCAGCCATCCAATTGGTTCCTTAGGTGTTTTTCAGCTTTTTAGCTGGTTTAGTGGTAGTTTCCATTGAACCCACGAAAAGTTAAACTTTTAGTGCGGGATCTGAGGGCAGAAAACACCCACCCCCTTGTGAACAGCCCAGGTGATTGGAACGTCAAGCTGCGAGACACCTCTACGGAGTCGTAAGCGGCATTGCACCCGCGCAATCCTCTCAGTTTCCAAAGATCGCACAAGGCTGAAAAGAAGGCGTCGAGCCCTTTTGCTTGCGTGCAGATTGCAGGGGTCCCCGTCTTCCTCTTGCTTGATGGCTTCAAGCATCACGTTTTTTGGCCATCTATGGTGAGTTCCCTTGGTCGGGGTCATGAGGGGAATATGGGGAACGTCGTGCCGATGGCTGCGGGCAATGAGTTGGTCCAGAGACCCGGCTGGGGCCGGGGTCCTCGCTGGGCCGCTGGGCCAGAAAAGAGGACCCCGACACCGGCCAGAATTTACAAGAGTCTTGCTCAACTTCTGGTCCACCCTCGTCTCATGCGAAACAGGGAAAGAGTTGATCGCACATGTGGGCGAGTCTGTTTTTGAGGCTACTCTTTTTGGGGTCTTTGGTGGTCTTTAAGGGAAACCAACTCGGAAAACCACATGTTTCTGGGGCGCCCTACAACAAGAGACACCCGTGTGGGTGTCTTTCGCCTGCACGTCGCCTAGGATGAACGATGCCACCATGCAGTTGGAAGAGGCCCGACGTCACCTCACTTGCCCCAGGTGCCAAGCCTTTCAAAATCTTGGTGCTGTTCAAGTGATCAAGTCTTCTCCGGGGTTCCACAACCATGCAGTCTGAAAGGGACCACAGGTGTCCTTTTTGGTTGTTTTGCTCGAAACATATCGACGGATTCCTGGTTTACCTGGTGATTTATTCTCGTCTACCAGGGAAACCCATCTATTTTCCGTATATCCGGACACCTATGAGGAGGGGACTTTCCTTCAAAGGGCCTCATTCTTGGGGACAAGATGATGTCTCAAGCCAGGATAAAAATATATTTCCCGATGGCGCTTTGCATGGATGGCTTGTTTTTGGTGCTGGGGACATGTCGGCTCGCTTGAGGTCGGCTCGCTGCATTTCCTGCTCCCCCCCAAAAAAATAGAAACAATATATATAAAAAAAATAAAAGATAAAACAACATGTAGAGTCATGTTTTTGAAAGTGGGGGGGGGGGGCAACCCACACCTTGACTCCCAGAGTAGCTCTCCACTTTGAGTTAGACTAGGCCTCATAGGGTCCCCCCTACATTTTTTGGCATATTCTGAATACGCCCACCAAAAAAACAACCCTATGTTCAATCAATTATCACGCCCCGAAAAGTGGTTAACCAATGGAAAAAGGAAATCCTAAGTGCTAACTCAAATCATGTCAACAATCCCTGTAAATATGGATGGCAAAATGCAGATGGGAAAGGCCTAGGTATAAAATGTAATGTGTTGTAAATATAGCATAACAAAGAAATTCAAACGCTCATCTTAATAATAACTGGCAACGCTTTCATCATCGCTATTTTTTTCACCCTCGTCGGAGAAGTCTTCCGTGCTTAATATATGATAAAATCGGATATGCTACTCTGCCTCTGTTCTGAATGGCATCATTTCTATTGCTCTCATGGCATAGTAACAGCCAATTCTCAAATGTTCTCTTTTGTCATCAATACTATCAATGAACCAGAGTTGTTTAAATGTATTTTCAACATCATATATGTAGGAATAAACATATAGAATGTTTTCAATTCTACATATATTTCATAATCGGATTTGGTATTATCTAATTCTTCAGTGAAAAGTCATTGCCCACAATGGGTTTCTTTTTATTCTTTCCCAAGTTGGAAAATTGGTTTTGACAATATCATTGTATCTGTAAGGACATGCATCATACCAGTTATATAACGTAATATTCAATCTGATTTCCAATGGTAAATTATTAATGTCGCACATACTTTACTTGATCTATTAAGGTAATAGTTTTTTAAATACTTTTCAGGGACACGTGTTTAATTGAACGTATTATAATTATAACATATAAGATCTTACATGTTGTAAGTGTAGTAAAATTATTGTATTAAAGGCTTTAACCTATGTATTTCCATAGGCTGTATTCGTTTCTTCTGTTCCTTCCTTAACTCTTTTGTTGCTTTGACTGCGTCTCTGCATTCCTTACATGTTTTGTATAATATCTCTTCCATTTTAAGTCTATCATACATGTTGTGAACATATTTTCTTGGCTTTGCTTCATCGCATTTACCGCAATGATAACCCATTGTGTATCCTGTTTCTTCGTCGTCATTTGTAGAACTCATAATATGTGTTATGCTAATATTTCTTTAAATGCCTTTCAATGAACGATATTTCATAGAATGATACGATCATGAATAAACTGCTGTGTCTTCATCAAAATCAATTTTGTAGTAATCCATTGTTGATTGCTTCGGTTCTTTATTTTTTCTTTGGTTTAATTTCTTCAGATATATACCTCTGTGTTCTTATATTCCTGACTATGTCTATCTACTTCTTTCGGTTGATAGTTGTTATTAGTATATGTTGGTTCTTTGTCATGCTTTCTAAAATTGAATATATGTGTTTGTTCTGTTCCATTATCTCATCAATTTCAAAATCAGTTTATCTACACTTTCCATATATAATATATTACAAAATACAATTTTTAAAACTAAATGTTTAAATTATGATAAATCTACTCTTTATATACTATGTTTTCATCAGTTCTCTTATAGTTTCCTGTGTGTCATTATCACCATTATCAGAAGTCATAACCCCATGACCACAAACCGTATAGCAATATTATGTTCATCAGTTTCAAGGTTGATGCCGTCGATAGTCTTATCAATATTCGCTTAAAGAAATAAATTAAACAAAATCAGTTTTACTTTCCTTAAGACCGATAGGCACAGAACATTTACATTTTCCCTTCTTCTGTACGTCTAATTCGTTTTTCATGTCTAACATCTTTTTACACATCGGACAAGCACGCTCAATAGCTGCTGTTTGATTAGTCACTTCTTCACTATTTTCATCTGCTGAAGAAACACTTAACCCTGTCTTGTTCTTTTGATATATTGTATCCCTAACTTAATTAATTTCAATGAATAAAAGCAACTTTGTTTTTACATTTATTAACAGTTATTATTACTTGTTCGACTTTCTCTACTTCATCTATTATATCAATATAATCTGAATGACGTCTATTCATATCAAACAATAATACGATACATTATGATAATTAATCTTATTTAGAATGTTCGGGGGGCTCTTCGCACTGGCAACGCACAAGCGGGGTTCAAACTAATTCAAACTAATTAGCTTCAATGCTTACTGCCTGAAGCAATGGAAAGCCTGTTGCATTTTTGTGATATTCACCGCCAGCATATCATAAAAACGATGTTCCATTTGATACTAGTTTTAAGTTACTTTCTAAATATCTTCAATACTGCATTATGTCGGATGTTCCAATAATAAAACCAATAAACATAACCGATTACGAATTCAAGCAATCTAAATACGAGCACGTGCCAAAATTACCCTTTAGAAGTATTATTTTATAGTTGCTTCTTCAACCGGTGGTAAGACTGTCCTTGTTCAAATTTTGATTTCAAATGTTTATAGAAAATCATTCTCAAGAATATTTATATTTTCACCCAGTGTTCATAACGACCCTACATTTACAGAAGTTAAAAAGTATACCCGAGATGAAATACACGTGGATGATGAAAAAGAACAAATATATTTTGACAATTACAACCCAACAGATTTAGAAAATGTAATTGCAAGACAAAATAATATAAATTATACGAAACCTAATAAGATAAAGAACCTGCAGTATTAATCGTGATTGACGATCATGCCGATGATCCCAAATTCGTGTATTCAAAATTATTGCACGGCCTCTGTACTCGTGGCCGTCACAATGCAATTAGCGTTATTTGTTCTACTCAAAAATGCAATGGTTTAGCGTCTATAATTCGTTTAAATGCCAGTTCATTATATATTTTTAGGTTGAACATGCCAGTGAGTTAATGAGTTGTATTCAAGACAATTCCGCTATAGTTGATAAGCAGCAGTTATTAGATAATTATGTATCATCAAGCAGTGAATGATGCACCTTATAGTTTCTTCTATGTGAATATGAATGCTAAAGATATTAACAAAATGTTTCATATCAGATTTGAACAGGCATTCCAAATTACGAATGATGAATAAATATATTGTAATTTAATATACTAATATGGTATTGAAACTTTGCAAATGCAGTGGTTTTTATCACAAAGGAAAATATAAATTTCATTGCAATTCTTGGATACATAAACTTTATAAGTTCTTGAGACGACGACCAACAGACAATGAATGATTAAAAAAGTCAAAATCAAAATTGTAATGAAGGATTTATTGAAGATTTTGAAACAATTAGCACTGCTTCAACAACTATGCCTAAAGACATAGTTTTAGATGATGATACAAATTAGCAATATTAATAGTGTTTTATTCATATTATTCATTCCAAATAATGAATAACTACATAAGTTCAAATCAGGTAATTTATAACATATCTTATATGTTTTTTTTTTTTTTACATTTATTAACTTTCTCTAATTTGTTAATTATTGCTTTCAATGAATTGATTTGTATAATATCAATTCTTGGACATGTCATTTATTGTATTTATATCAATATATTTTACTATTTTAATAGCCTCATCATCATCAATTTCTACTGGTTTTGATTTACTTGAACCCATTCTGTTGATTATTTAGATTCTATTTTTTCCAATATTATCTTTTTGTTCTTCTTTTTCTGCTTCTTCTTCATCTTCAGTTGGTGCTGGTATTTCATCTGGACTTTCTGGGGGAGCAGGAAGAATATTAGTGACTTCATTAGAACTACACGGCTACTACTGCTACCACTACTGCTACTTTGTGCATTTCCTGCCATTATCTCATTGACTAAATCTGCAATAGGTATAGTTGTTGCGATTGTGCTGTGCGATAAGTTTAGTATTATATCAGCTACTGTAGCGCCGGTGTGTAGCAGTAGTTCTATCATTTTTGTCAGTTTGAACTTTTTCTCTTCTTCGTCGCTGTCCTCCTCATCGGGTGGTTTCTTTGGCGGTGGTTCTGGCGGTTTGTTGTTGTCAAGCATTGTAGTAAAGGCTGACACCATTGCATCACGTTGGTTTTTCAGCGTTTGTGTTGCCTATGTTCTCGTTGGTTTATTTCTTTTGTATGTCTTGTGCCAAAAGTTTTGAAGCATTATTTTAAACATATTGTCTTTTTTTAACCTTAAACGCTTCAAATGTCACATTTAATGGTTGGTTTGCATCATTATATAACTTTTCTGGAGTCTCTCTGGTTTCTGCAGCAATAGTATCTGTGTTGGTTGCAATGTCAATAAATTATCTTGGTATGCCCTTTTTCATCATCTTCGGTGGCTGTCTTGTTGGTGGTGGGTTTGGTTTCGTTAGGTTATGTATTGAAAAACAGTCGTCAACATCATATTGATCATGTATTGTTTGCTTCTTTCTTTTCAGCATATGTTTAGTTAATATAATCATTATAAGTGTATTTAGATATTAATATTTGTGGATAGCCACTGGAACTACTAGCTCTCTGTGGTGGCTTACTTTGCGACTTGCTTCTTGCTTCTTCTACTTGTGCTTGTTTTGCTATGTATATGTAATAAATCAAGTTGCCGTACTATTTTCCTAAATGTGCTCTAATTGCATCCTTGTTGTCCTTCCCTTGGGTATTATCAAGCAACTGTATTATTTTAAAATAACCGTCAAGTTCTCTTTCTGACACCAAATGTTCCCAACTACGTTGCTCATTTCAGATACATTATTAGCAAATTCGTGCGGGGTTCTGTGTTTGACGCTTGTCAACATTTCTAATGCTGGTTTGATAACATCCCACGTTTCATCAGAATGCTGTTCTCTTAAACGGTCACATATTTTTGCATCTACTGGGCTCAAATTAGAAACTGTTCGTCCTTCCTCTTCTTCTGCTTCTGCTTCTTCTGCTTCTGCTCCTGTATGTGTTGATGATCTAGCCATATCTTGTATTTTTAGCATAAAAAATGCTTGATGCAAGGGTATTGATTAGTGCATCACCCTCCTTTGCTAATACATTAGCAAACGCTTGATTTATTTTTCGCTTCGCCTTGGCGTCCTTTCTTGCCATCTCATTTAATTCTGCTGTTAATGTTGCTTCCTGCATACTTTCTGTATCACGCTGAACCATTGGCTCTGTTTGTTGTTCCGGTGGTTGTGGTGCTTCTCTGCTTCCGTGCTTCTCCCATGAAGTGCGTATGTGTGCCCGTTTCGGTGTGATTCTTGTCTCATCATTAGTTCTCTCATTTGCCTGTCTAATATTCTCATCTGTTGGTCTTTCAATAATTCTCAATGGTCGCTTCCGTTAAAAATCCCTACCTTGAGGACTTGCTTTGAAACATGTAGCGTCTCTGTTTGGTAGTTTTCTTGTTAATTGTTCATTCTCACCTATTAGATTGGCGATTTCTTCATAAGTGGGTCGTCTTTTCAATCCAAACTTTGCATATGGATGTGTCAATTCTAAACTTTGGGTCGTCGCCATATTTATTATAATAATAGTTAGAATATTATTATTAAAATAACTTTTAAGCACATGTTAATTCTTCCAGCTCTTTGATCCGTTTTTCTACTTGCTCCTTTGCTGAATGTGGTAGATTTGGACGGAGTAGTTCCATTGTTAATCTATCTAACTCATTTTGATAATTTGCTCTGGCATGTCCTTCTTCAATCTTCTTTCTTAACGCCACCGATGCCTCCTGTGAGTTTCTTAGCTTTAGTTGTTCGTGTAGGTGTCTTAGATATTCATTATCTCTTCTATCAAATGGACTATACTTAATTTGTGAGGATTGTAAGAATACTTTTTTTTTTTTGTTCCGTATTTTTCTTGTGATGACGATACATTGTTTATATTATTGATTAGACTATTATTGTTTTGTTGTTCATATGCTTGATGGCGTTTTGATTTAAATGTCTGTTGAAATACACTGCCACATTCGCATTCAAATTGTTTTTTAAACCTTTGCCTCATCTCGTCGTTATTGTCTTGATAGTATTGTTTTTTGTCGCGTAATATTTGCTCTTTGTTTTTTTCATACAGTTTCTTTTTAACCTCACTCACATGTTCTTTATTATCATTGCACCATTCCTTGTTTGTTCGCCCAGCGACATATCCATTGAATGTTGCAAGTGTGCGTATCCACTCGCCTTCAATTTTCTTCCAACCTTCCACATTTTTACAATCGGGGCAGTCTTGTATTTTTCTATGTAGAAATGTTCCTTACCAAGTTTGTTCATTTAATTGTAAATAACATATTCCAAGTATGCATCCTTACCACTTCTTGACCTATGAGCGACCATTCTTTTGCTTAATGGTTGTGTAGTGCTTCCAATGTAAATACCATCAGTAATACTATGTCTGATGCAGTATATTTTAGCCTTCTGAAAGAATCTTTGTTACCAACTTCTGCCATTAACTACTATATTAATTTTGTCCTTATATGGTACCCTTTTTGGGCTGTTTTTTGTTGGAAAACCATTAACAGTATTGAACTTAGGTTGAGTTGTCCGCCTTCAAAACTTGTCTTGAGCCACTTTCCCTGAGCTCAAGCACACTTTCCGAAATATGCACAAACACCTCACGGAGATCTTCGTCAGTTGTTGGTGCTTTGTTGGTCCCTTTCTCAATTTAAAAAGATGAGCAAGCCGCAAAAATCTTCGTGTTCTGTCCAGTAAAATAAATGTGTCTGCCATCTTTTCAAATGAAATCCCAATAACGAACTTGTCTTCTCTGTAGCGTTTGTAGGAAATGCTAAAGGCATCTTGGTCAGGGTTCAAATAGTGTAATGTTCTTCGGAGGTAGTAGGCGGTCTCATTCAATTTGCGGATACTTCTTATTGTTCATCTGTAATTGCCAAGATCAATTTAAATCGGATTTTTGAAAGCCTTTACCTTGATATGCCGCGCGACCATCGCCATCAGGGTTAGGACCATCACACATATGCGAGTTAATCATAGGATTGTAAAAGTAGTTCCATCCTTTGTAAATGTAGTTGTCTTGTCTGCAATAGCTTGTATTTTGAGGGTCAGTGCCAGTTCTTGGTGTGCGATACAATGTAATGAAACAACCATTTAATTTAGCGGATTTAACCATATTCATAATATTCATATTGATGTCAGTTCCTGCCACGTTGAATGATTGGGTCATAGTGTGATACATTGGAGATACTAATTTCAATCTTTGACCCTCTAACAAATGCTTCACTATATTGTTATTAACAGTGTTGTCCAAGGTATTACATTATTTAATTCCCACTTGGTGCTGGTGTCTCCAGTTGTGAAAAAATAACCGTATTTATCTGTGTAGGTGTTGTTAATGAAAACCATTCAAGTGGTGTATAACGAATTATCGGGATATATGCAACTGAATGGTGCGTGTGTCTCCCCCCAGTCTCCCTTGTACTTGTACAAGTTGCCCATGTCAGTGTCGGGGGCCTGTGGCGCAATGGCAGCGTTTTCCTGTGCTTAGCACGGGAAGGTTGTGGGCTCGAATCCCTCCAGCGTCCCCTGTGCGCATTTCTGACCCTCAATCTTGGTGGTTTGGCATCTAACGACTGAAGAAGGATGATAAATTGCCTGACGGTCGTAAGTGACTTCGTGTTCCAGCAGTGTTTTGATAAATCATTTTTTTTGTGCTGTCTTCTCCTGATATATATAGTTTTTCTCCCGCGTTTGGGCTATAGACATTACTACCCGATGGAACATATTTTTTCCTACTTGTCTCCTACTCATAACCTGCCCAGCCTGCTTTCACTTTGGCAGCATTTTGCAATCGGGCAATTCAACGTAAGCAGGCAATAGCTTAACAAAGGAGACACTGGAACGGCAGAAGTGACGCACCCCTCCTACAGAACACCCATCTCTCAGCAATGTTTCTCAATATATACACGCATTGTACGTTTTGTTTTTTGTTTTTTGGGGTCTCCAGGGTTCGCCAGCGTTGGGAACGTCTTGGCAAACAAATGTCATTGGACGCCATGAGTTTGGCTTTCAGCGATCCTTGTTGGCCTGAGGCCTCCTGTGAAGGTCCAGTTTCTCTCGAAAATTGCTTGAGAGTGTGGTGTTTTTTGGCGGACCTCCAACCAATTTTGGGGGTAAACAAATGAGACTGTGTGTGTTTTTGGTGCGCACCTCCAACCATTTTTTGGGGTAAACGAATGAGACTGTGTCTTTTTTGGGGGTTTCCAACTTTAAAACCAAAAGGACACCAAGACTTGTCCGTTTTAGTGTGTGCTTAGTTAGAAATAGATGGCACTGGTTATCGATTCTTCCAGAAGGTCACCCACGGCACGCACCATGTTGTTGGGCCTAGAAGAACCCACTTCAAAGCAATGCCCTCGGCAAGCGGAAATTCCGCTCAGGGCATGGACACGCTCATCGAGATTCGGCGGCTCAGCAGGGAGGGAAAGGAGGCCCGATGTGACTTCCGCCTCGCGGAAGGTTTTGTGTTGCTCCCTGAGTTTCTAGGTCCCCCAGTAGTGCCCTTTTACCCTTTTTTTGGGAGGGTTCCCCTACTAAAGTAGACCGCAGAAAAAAGTTGGCACCCTTATTCGAACCTCCAAAACTGGAGGACCTAGGTTTGATCTTCCAGGACCCTAGCAGGCCTTTGGCCCCCTGGAAAAAGCAGGCCTTTGGCCAATTGTCCATGTGAAGCCAAGAGCAAAGTCAGGAAGGGCCCTGTTTTTGCGGGTCCTTGGAAGACCAAGAAAGCTTTTTGGGGTTGGACGATCTTATTGGGAAACAACATGTTCCGGACTTTTTTTGAATCATCCAAGCCTGGCTTTTTCCCAGCTTTGGATGGGTGCATGGCAAAGAGAAGCCATCCAGCAATCTAAAACTTCGTTTCGATGCACTCGAAACGCCACCAAAACCCAGGGGAAACAAGCGAGGTCCCCCAGCGATCGGTGCCAACTTCTCTCCCGTTTCTTTTTTGCGGGGTTGGGTTCCCCTACTAAAATAGACTGCAGAAAAAGAGTTGGTACCCTTATTCTAACCTCCAAAACTGGAGGACCTAGCAAGAAATTCGGTGCGTAAGCCAACCTGAAAGGGGCAACTCCAAAAAGAAACAAAACAAAATGGCGATGAAAACTACTAAACATGGTGGTTGTTGGGACACATTTTGCATGTTTGCTTATTGTGGTTTAGTGGGAAATCCAACCGCTTAGCTGCTAAAATTTATTTTGTTGCTCCCGACAGACTCCCCGCCATGAAACCAGGAATCGGACCGCAGGCGAAATCGTCCTTTCCATTTACCGAGCCGGGCACCCATTTTTGGGCTACCAACTATTTTTCACCACGCATTTCAGTCCCACCAATTTGCTTCCTTGGGGGAAAAAACTGAAAATTCCCTTCGGCCCCAAGACGACCATGATTAACTCTTCCCATGAAAGTCAAATCTCCTCCTCGATGTGGCTTTCCCTACTGTTTTTGTTAGGCTTGCCATGTCAAACATATCTTCTTCTTTTCTTAAATGTGGTTTCCCTATTCGGTTTTAGGTTTTCTAGGATTCCTCGAATTGTCCCAGGTTTTTTTAAAGGGCGCCTTGGGCTTCCTTGGAGGTGGAGCTTTCACGGCCAGCGCCCTCGAGTGTGGCGGAGGATGAGCAGACCACCGAAGGCGGAATTCGCGGGTGCCCTCCCTCCCACAGGGCTCCTTAAAAGAAATTCAGTTTGAGTCATGTGGCTTTTTCAACACCAAAATCAAGGGAAACCACCATTTAAAATGGCAATGTTCAGGTGTAGAATGCATCCGGATCCCTGTCCCACTAACGCTGTGGGAGGGTACCTGGAAGATAATTGTCCTCTGGGACCCTCTGGCAGGTGCCATGTTAGTCGGAGTGAGGGTACGGTCTTCGGATTTGAGGGGTCCCTTTTTCTGGAGCCGAGTCTCGGTACCCCGTGATGTTTTGGTTGGTTTTGTAGGGAAAAACGAAAGGAGCACCATTTCGTGTTTTGGGGTACCCTAGAAAAAGCACAGACTCGGGACTCGTATGATGCTGGTATATGCAAACCAAAGCAAAGCCAGTGGGTCCATTTACCCGTATGGGTAACCAAGGGCTTGCCATGCCAGCTTTTGAACACCAAATAGAAGATGGCTGGTTGCTTTCTATATAGTGGTAACTGGGATCCACTGGCTAAGACACATGTGCAGGATAGACAGTTGGTCAACTTTCCAGCGAGGTCTGCTTGTTCTGTTTCGAAGATCGGTCGATGGGTTTCCTGCCTGAGCCCATGCTGTGCCTCCCAAAGCCACCCACCGTGCGCCTCGGGGGCAGAAGACGGAGACTGCTTCAGGCGCCGACCTTTATGCCCGCAGCAGGGCGGATCCCAAGGCAGGGCCAGTGGGCCAGTCCAGTCGCGCGTGTGGCAGGTGTTCTGTCGTATGAGAGGGGGATTTTTTTCCCCCTTCAAGGGGCAACCCGTCGCTTTTTTGAATGAAGGGTTTGTGACCCCGGGGTTCGGCACCAAAAAGCGGCGAAGTGCGACTTGACCTGGCAACAAATTCCGTCGCCTCGCGGCCACCTCACTTCTTCTGAGTCACTGGCGGGAAACCGCTCGAGGCCCACTGCAAGCAGTACATGCAAATGGGCCATCGGACCATCAGCACTCTGTGGAGCATCAGCCGGGAGGCGTGCGCGCTCGAGCCCGTCAGAGAGGATGGGTTCCATTGTTTTTTTCTTTCACCCCATCAAAAGGATGTAAGAGACTTCCAAAAGCGGGCTCCTATTTGGAGACGAAGCCAAAGAGGTCCAAGATGAGCATTTTCTCTTTTGGGAGTCTTGACTGGGGTCATTTTGACCAAAGTCGGAAGATGGAATTGGTGGTTTCCCTTTCACCTACCACTTTGACGCCGTCAGCACCTTCACAGGCGCCAATGGTGGTCACCAGCAAGCTGAACGTTCTGCAGCAGGCGGGCTTTTTTTTTTTCCTTTTCCGGCGTTCCTCAGCTTGAGCTGGGGTTCGAAGCGCCGTTGAAACATGGGGGCTGATAGAACCACCATGATTTGAACGAAGGATTTTGCCGCCCAAATTGGGTGTCAAGGCCATTCTTTTAAGGGGGGTTGAACCCCAGAGTTGTGCTTTTAGGCATTTGCCCGACCCTTTCCCGCCCTCCACAGCAGTAAGGCTCTTGGAGGTCCACGACAAAATTTCGACAGGCAAGACCACGACGTGACCGGCAAAAGGAAGTTTGGTTCAAAAGAGAAGGCCGTTTCCCAAGCTTCTTTTGAACCAAACTTCCCTTCCTTTCCTTTTGAACCAAACTTAGCTTTCGAACCAAACTCTTCCTTTTTTCCTTTCGCTCTTTTTTCCCTTTCACTTCCTTTCGGAGGGCTTCCGGTGTGGGGTTTCCCAGAAGTGGGATGGCTTCTCTCAACTGGGGGCTCTCAAGAAGCGGCGGTTTCTTGGCTCCCAGCCATCCAATTGGTTTTTTGGGTAGTTCCTTAGGTTTTTTAGGTTCTTGGTGGTTCCTTGGTTTTTTTTGTCCAGCTTTTTGGCTGGTTTAGTGGCAGTTTCGCTTGAACCCACTGAAAGTTAGCCACTTTTAGCGGGGGATCTGAGGGCCCAGGTTTCCTTTCGGTTTATCTTGCGCCAATGGCCGTGTCTGCGGATGGAAGCCCGATGGAAACAGGTTTAGAAACGAATCAACAGCGGCGTTTTTTTTTTTTCATGAGCTTTAGGCAGATTTGGTCAATCGGGGGTATGTGTCGACACTGGTTAACAAAGTGACCAATTTCAGGGTGTCCTTCCAAAAGTGGTGATCGATTCAATGGAAACCACCAGTAACCTGGTCAAATTTTGACTTCGGGACATCCCTTGACCCTAGATGTGCTTTGTTTTTGGCATATCTCGATCCAGGGGGGTGTCTCTTTTTTTTTTTTTTTCTCGGGGGCGAAACCCTTTTGGTTGTAGAGTGCAAAGCACAAGACCCTTGACACCGTGTTTGTTGTTTCCTAAAAATTGACCCAATTGAACATAAGCGCAAGTCACAGGGTCATGTTCGCCTCCCGGCGGCTGCATAGCGCCCCCTTTTGGTGTTTCTTGTGCTAAAGACGAGAGCAAAGACTCCACCCCTTGGTGGTTGGGAGGGCGGTTTGGATTTGGATTTCAACCCCTGGTTCTTGTAGAGGGCTTGTTGGCACCAAACCACCAGGCCACGAGGCTCCAAACCACCAAGATGGATTTCAACCCCACCAAACCACCAGGCCACGAGGCTCCACAAACCACCGAGAATATCGAGAGAGAGTCGGGCGGGGCGGGCGGGCTGGGTTCGATGGCAGTTGCTGCACAACTGCCTGAACTCCTGCCTGGATCGCCTGGTTGGCCCGCGCTGCCTGGAGCTCAAAGCGCCGCAGAAGGGCCAGGCATCGCTGGGATCCGGGGTGAGGTTGGTTGGGGACTGGGGACTCGCTCGCTTGAGCTTGGCTGGTTGGCGATTAAGGGTGAAGCCTTGAGTGGTTGTTCCTCAACGAAAGAAACGGAGAGGAACCAAGAGCCCAAGTTGGTTCCCTCAAAAAACACACACACACACACACACACCCATTTGCGACCAACGCCTGGGCGTTGTAAGCCCTAACCCAGGGTTTTGAATCGTAGGCCCCATTGGCTGCAATCCCAAGACGGGGTTCCGAAAGGGAAACCACATTTACTTGGGTTTGCAGTTTCAATGGAAAACCAAAGGGACACCGCTTGGAGTTTCTGGTGTCGCCCAAAAACAGAAACTGCATTTGCTTGGGTTGCAAAGGTCAACCAAAGAAAACATTGGAATTTCTGGTGTCGCCCAAAAACAGAAACCGCATTTGCTTGGGTTGCAAAGGCTAAGCACAGACGGACGCCGATTGGAATTTGTGTGTCGCCCAAAAGCAGAAACCGCATTTACTTGGGTTGCAAAAGTTAACCACAGACGGACACCGATGGGAATTTCTGGGTCGCCCAAAAGCAGAAACCGCATTTGCTTGGGTTGCAAAAGTTAACCACAGACGAACACCGATGGGAATTTCTGGGTCGCCCAAAAGCAGAAACCGCATTTGCTTGGGTTGCAAAGGTTAACCACAGACGGACACCGATGGGAATTTCTGGGTCGCCCAAAAGCAGAAACCGCATTTGCTTGGGTTGCAAAAGTTAACCACAGACGGACACCGATGGGAATTTCTGGGTCGCCCAAAAGCAGAAACCGCATTTGCTTGGGTTGCAAAAGTTAACCACAGACGGACACCGATGGGAATTTCTGGGTCGCCCAAACCGCATTTGCTTGGGTTGCAAAGCAAAAGTTAACCACAGACGGACACCGATGGGAATTTCTGGGTCGCCCAAAAGCAGAAACCGCATTTGCTTGGGTTGCAAAGGTTAACCACAGACGGACACCGATGGGAATTTCTGGGTCGCCCAAAAGCAGAAACCGCATTTGCTTGGGTTGCAAAGGTTAACCACAGACGGACACCGATGGGAATTTCTGGGTCGCCCAAAAGCAGAAACCGCATTTGCTTGGGTTGCAAAGGTTAACCACAGACGGACACCGATGGGAATTTCTGGGTCGCCTCAACACCAGACACGCCCCGAGTGTGTTTTCACGGTTCCCAACGCTGTGCGAGCTCAAGCGACCTCAAGCGGACGCATCACACGGGCCAGGCCAATGACTTCGAAGAGTACAGCTTTAAGCCAAAGGAGCAAATGCCTTTGGCGCAAAAAGCCGGAGTTCCAAAATTCTAGGGGTAACGTCCATGTAGCCCGGGGTGGGGGGATGGTTTTGGATAACCAATCTAGGGGTACCTTCCAATTCCATTCTTTCCAGGGATCCGAATCTTTCTAGAAAGCCACCTTCAAATCCCGGGGGAAATGGCGATGGGTTTTTGAAAAGAACGAGGGCTGAAAAGAAATGGACGAGGGGAATCCACCCCTCGAAAAACGGGTTGCCCTAAGTGGAAAAACATGGACCAACTCGTGTCGGCTGGGCCTGCTCCGCAAGCCCCCCATGAAACCATGGATATGGGTCAAGATGAGTCACCACCAGACCGCAGGTTAAATCGTCCTTGGTCCTATTTGTTTTGGTTCCATTTTGGGGTTACCCTATTTTTGGCCCGCCGCCAAATGAGAGCCTTACGCCGTGGCCGACCAGGGTCGCTTGGGTTTGAGCGTTCGCTCTTGGCCCAGCTGGGGCTTTGGCTTTGGAGCGCTGGACTTGAGCCACAAAGAATCGACGGATCGGCGCAGTCACAATCAAAGCCCGGGAAATTGGAGGGTAGGAACCCCCGGTAGTGCCCTTTCTCTCCCGATTCTTTTTTGGTTGGGAGGGCTCCCCTACTAAAATAGACTACAGACGAAAAGTGGGTAGCCTTATTCTGACCTCCAAAACTGGAGGACCTAGGTAGTAAGGAACCCCAGCTGCTGGGTGCTTTCGCCGGTTCAATTCTTTGCGGACCAATTTTATGCAGGGTTTTGGTTATCCCTTTGAACAAGTGCCGGCTTCGATTCTCGAGGGCAACAAATGGCGTTGGTTTGATTGGGAACCAGAAGGAAAAAACGCATTTGGCAGGGCGCCCATTTTTGGGCACACGTCCATTTGTTCAAGAAAGTTGTATTTTCCCCTGTTGGTTTTCCAGGGAATATATCACTACTTTAAATATTGTTCCCCGAAAGCTTAAGCAGGGCTCCTAAAAAAACATAAAAAACCTGTTGCAACCATTTGAAACATGTGGCTTTTTCAACACCAAAATAAAGGGAGCCCAGCATCTACAGGTGTATAATGCAAGGATCTCTGTTAAGCAATTTCCCCTGTTGGTTTTCCAGGGAATATATCACTACTGGAAATATTGTTCCCCAAAAGCTTAAGCAGGGCTCCTAAAAAAATAAAAATAATAATGTTGCAACCATTTGAAACATGTGGCTTTTTCAACACCAAAATAAAGGGAGCCCAGCATCTACAGGTGTACAATGTAAGGATCCCTGTTAAGCAATTTCCCCTGTTGTTTTCCAGGGAATATATCACTACTGGACATTTCCCCCCCCCCCCCCCCCGGGGGCTTCAGCAATTGAAGGCGCCATACGCTCCCAGGAGCTTTTGCAAATGATCGCAGAGATGTACATCTTCGTGGCGCGGGCAGACAGGGAGAAGGCGGATGACGTTGTGCATTGGTCTGGTTCTCCAAACAGTCCCGTAAAATTCCCTTGGTGGTTCCCAGCCGTCCTGTCAGGTTTTCAGGATTTTTTAGTTGGTTTAGTGGTAGTTTAAATTAAACTCACTAAAAGTTAGTGACCCTCTGGTTTTTCTAATTGTTCAGCAGTTGGTTTAGTGGTAGTTTCCAGGAATCGCACTAAATGTCAGCCACTTTCCGGATCAGAAATCAAAAACGGAGCCCAGTTTTGATTTTGAAAGCGTCATCCAAGGCCACGTTGAGAACCACCTTGGATGAATCTGCGAACTTTGAAGGCGATGTCCCCTGATGCCTTGGCCCAAGGTGGAAGTTTCGCCGTGAATGAATCGCTTTGCTCGCATTTGGATCAAGGCGAAGACAACGGCATGTCTGGAGAACGAGGTTTGGCCAAATATCGGTTTGTGGTGAACGGTACAGAATGAGGTTTGGTCCAATATTTAAGAAATGTCTGTGGACGTGGGCACAACCATTGAATTCAGCGGAAAGCCACCTGGACGAGCGCAACGCTCTTTCCCATGCCCTCGCCTCCCTACGTGTGTGGTCCCAAAAGGGGGTAGGTTTTTTTCGTTTCCTGCTGGAAAAAACCGCAAGGCTACCAAGCCACAAAAGCCGAGCGTACCAGCCTAGCGCCCAATTGGAACTCGCGAGAGCCAACGAGTTCTGCTCGCTTCCCACAGAAAAAAAAGCAAGCCACGCACGGACAAAAGCGATTCATGTCGCTCTATTCAGCTTTTTTTTCCTAGAAAGGAAGTACCCACACGGACAGACAGAGGCAACAACCATTTCTTAAGCCGCTCGGTGTTTCCTAGATACAAAGAAGAAGTTGCACACAAACACACAAACACAACTTTAAGTCGCTCTGTTTTTCCTGTGCAAAGACTTCACACACACACACACACGAACGCAAATTTCATGTTGGTTTCCCTTTGAGTTTCGCTGAACGTCCCTCTTGGATCCTTCGATGCTTGGGCGCCTGACTGGGCGCGGGGCGAGCCAGCGCCGAGCGGCGAGCGCGCTGAGCCTTGCAGTGCAGCAGGTCAGAGCAGAGGCTGGCAGATCTTGCAGATACGGCAGGGGGGGTTGCTGTGAACCCACTTTACCCACTTTCTGTGATTCCATCCACTAAACCTAGGGAGAAGCACCCCCATGAAAGTAAACTGGTTGGTAGAACAGATTGGTTGCTTTGGAGTTCCATATGAGCCACAATCAAAACCCGGGTAGATGAAGGTTCGTAGGGGCAGTCCCAGCCAGAAATAGCTGCGGATATCCGCCTTCATGGTTCTGGGTAGCCCATTTTAGTACTGGGTTTTGATTGTGACTCATATAGATTTCAACCAACCAGTTTAGTTTCATGGGGGTGCTTCTCCCTGGGTTTAGGGCTAAGTGGGGGAAAGGTGTTAGGTTGAGCCATTTTCTGTGGTCAGTTGTCGGCTTGCTGCTTGCACCTGGCAAAGGGATCCCCTGAAGTGGCGATTTACCTTTTGGTTTCCCAAAAAAACTAAGGTAGACAATAAGGCCCTCAACCAACACCCACCGTTCACGGAGCCTTCTGTAGGTTGGCCTGGGCTTTATGTTTGTTTGTTGCGTTTGTCTCAGATCAGCAGCCCAGAGTTGTGCAAAGGCGTGTTTTCAAGGGGGAAAACGGGGAGTTCGAGCACTTGAAGGAGCCGCACGAGGGAAGCTGTGGCATGGTAAACGCGTGCCGTGTCCTTTCGAATTCCAGCAACACGTCTTCACCCCGAAAGGGGCACTCAAAAACAGACACATCCAAATCTGTCAAACATGATCTATCACTTGAGGAACTCCTTTGGTGGATGATTTCAAAGGTAAAAAGGGAAGCTGAAAGGGGATCCACCGGTGAAGCGTGTGGTCTCCTTTTGAATTGCTTCAACACCCAAGATTTGACACGGGTACCAATTCATTTGGTTGAAGGGAAGCCTACGACAACCTGCCGAAGTCAGGAGAAGGGGGGGAGGCTTCCATTTGATTAAGACTATTTTTGTTATTTCCCCTGTTGGTTTATCTCGGACCGATTCGGTCGGCTCTGACGCACGGCTGCGCAGTTGGTTTAAAAGAGAATCTATCACTACTGGAAGTGTTTTATTTGTTTATTTATTTATTTTTTGTCCAGGGGAGTTAAGCAAATGGAGGCAGGGGCTCCAACCCATGAGCCGCACCGGGACCAGGTGCTAGCGGCCTCGGTTCCAGATGCCGCCGCAGCCGGGTGCAGCGAGGGCGCTGCTGCTGACTGGGGCCAGGCGAGCGGGTCTTGGGCCGCGTCCCAACACGGGCCGTTGGAATAGGTGGTTCATTATTCTGACTTTCTGGGGGTCATCAAAGTCAACTCGGCTGATTTCCTTTTAACCTACCACTTGGGGGGTGACTTTGATAATTGTAAAATAATGGGCCAGTAATAGGTGGTTCTACTACATGCTTGCATTGGGAGTATAGGAAGAAGCCGATGTAAGCCATCTTGGTAGAAGGCCATTAGGACTATAGCCGTTAGAATTGTAACCCATGAAGGTTGAGATGATCTGGATTGCAACCATCAAGATGGCAACCATTAGGAACTATAGCCGTTAGGATCCCATACCACTCCCATTTTCCAAAACTATATGCCTTCCTTATGACCAGGCGTATACCACTCCCAGCACCCCCGAATACTAGCTACCTGGAAGTGTCCTTGATTAGGACTATAGCCATTAGGATTGTAACCCATGAAGATTAAGATAGTATATCTAGATTAAGCAAAAACCATCAAGATGGCAACCATTAGCTAAGGGTTCCCCTACTAAAATAGACTACCAAAAAAAGAGGAAACCATTCGGCGCCCTTATTCTAACCTCTCTACCGGAGGACCTAGTTAGGAAATATAGCCGATCGTTTTTTAGCTTCAGATGGGTAGCACCAAGCACTTTGGCTGAGACCTGCGCTCAGGTGGAGGGCCAAGCGGCCATGGTGAGCACCTGGCCGGAGTATCCCTTGCATCTGGAGGCCAGAGTCACGTCGACGGCGTTTTCGTGTTTTTTCCTGTCCGAAAAGAGTTTGGTCGGTAGAAAGTGGGGGGGGGGGGGGGGTCGTTTTTCAGTTGGTACCCCCCATTTTTGGGGGTGGAAGCAGAAGGTGCCCACCATTTTGTTGGGGTCTCCTAGAACACACACTTGGGTGTGTTCGATGGCGCTCCTACGTGGCAATGGATGTGGAAACCTTTGGACCGTCAAAAGGTGAAGAGTTCCCTCGAACATGGGCGGCTCCCCCCTCCCCCCAGACACCCGTCCCTCATGGCGACGGAAACTATTCTTCCAAAGGTGTTTGTGCACTTCCCATGTCGTTGGTGCAGTGGCTCTTGCGCCGTCTTAGGTCATTAAGGGCTTAGTTGGCTTAACAAGGCCTCATTTAGGCTCCCTCCCACTTCCCTCTCCCAATTTCACTCCCAATTTCCCCCCCAATTCCCTCTCCCAATTCTCTTTCCCCAGGTTCTGTAAGGCCTTACTTGGGGCTCTTCAGCCCCCCCCCTCCCCCGCCCACCCCTGCCCCCGTGAACTCCATCCCCGCGGCCGGCCCCGCGCGGAGACCGCGAGGAGCGCTGCGAGCTGGCGGAGACCTTTGCCATCTCCGCCCGCGGCAAGGCTTTGGGAGCCCTGCGCCTCCGACAGCAGAGACCGGGGGGGGATGCTCGGAAGTCCCGCGCCAGTTGCAGGCAGTAGGCAGCGGGGTCATGTTTTTTTCCTTCCTTTTTTTAAACATTTGGGTGATCAAAGTCTGGTGTCCCTGCAACCTGCCACTTCCAGGATGACTTTGGTACAGGCAGAGGGCCGGGCGCCTTCGGCCCGGACTTGTGGCCCGAAGGACGTCGTCGCTGTGTTCTTTCTGCCTTCGCAAGCCCCGGAGAGTGGCTCCGTCCCCACCTTCCATTGGTTTAAGAAGAGTTGTTGGCTTTTCTCCCCTGTTGATTTTAACAGGACTCGATCACTATTGGAAAAATGTGTTTTTTTCTCCAGGGGAGTTAAGCAAATGGCAGCCACGGGTACATTTTCTGGCTGTTTGGTGAAAAACAAGGTGTTCCTTCGAGATGGCACTGTTTTCTTCTTTTTGCGAAACGACACTTTTGCAAGTTGAGCATTGCATACATGTGTTTTTTTTCCGGCAAGCGGCGCTTCTTTCGCGAAACGGCAGAACAATATGCCGTTTCGCCAAACGGCAAAGGGCCGTGCCATTGGGATTGGGCACGGAGTCGCCGAAAGGCGCCCTGTTGCTAACAAACATCTCCTTGAATAGTTGCCTTGGGTTTTTCGCTCAAGCAGCGGGGGTCGAGAAAATGGGCGCTGCAACTGGCCAGCGTTTTTTGTTCTTTTCTTTTTTCTTTCTCTTAATCCGGAAAACCCAAAATGGTCCTGAGATGCAAAGCCGACATTGGCTTCCCTTTTGGGGCAATTCAATGATGGGTTGAAGTTGATGTCCGTGCTATTTCTCATTTTTCCAGTTTTGCACCGGAATTCACTTTGCACAGACTCTGCCCCTGGGTTTCGTTGCAAACAAAAGCAGCTCAGGTGATCTCCCCAACAGCATGCGGTGCTCTTTTGCTCGCACCACCCCGCAGCCCTCAGAAGCTCGTGGAACCCTCGTGGAACCTTACCTCAGGGCCGCCCCGGACCACCCCGCAGCCTATCTGGGCTGAGACCCCAAAGCTTTCAGCTGTTGGGGGAAAATGGGACTGGGTCAAAAGTAGGTACCCAAAATGGGCTGGCCCAAATGACGGATGCCCAAGACAACAAGTTTTATAGAAAGGTAAGCCTTTGGACTGTCAATGAACACTCAAGACAAAATCACGAAAACCAAAACACAGCCACCTCCCCTTAATTAAAAAAACAAGCACTAGGTGACAATATCGAGCCCACTTTTTGTAATATCTCCCCCCCCCCCCGCCCAGGTTTCGGCGCTTGGTGGCGCTGGAGCGCGA